AGCCTATTTTAACTCCACTATATACAGTTGGATAGTTTGAGCTGCAGCAATGCATCAAATACAACACATTTAACAAACATTGGACATGCAGGATTTAAAAATGTAATCCTCAAAATGACTCATAACTACAGCTGCCAACATATGTAAAGAAATGCTTTGCTCAAAATATCCCATTCCTGTTTGCTTTTTCACCTAGGCAAGGGGAGACGGTACCAGGACGACATGTTGACTGTCCTGAGGGACATGCTTGCTTCTGACCAGATGCAGATGGAGAGACAGCTGGAGCAAAGGCAGCACTGGGACCAGCACCTCCTGATGCAGCTGGAGGACGCCAGGGATGCGAGGCACCAGGAAGCAGAGCTGGCCAGAGGACAGCACCAGGAGCAAGTGTTCCTTAGCACACTGGGCCAGCTCGTACAAGCGATGAGTGGCTGGCGCGTGACCCAGGGCCCTCAACAAAGTGATAACTTGGGCATTATTGGATGTTGTCGCGAGAGCTGACACAGCCTATTGGTTGTTGTTTTTTGCACGTCATGTATATAGTTTTCATCTTTGCACAGATTTGTATTTGCATGTTGTCTGCTTTTAATACTTTGCTTTGTATTTACACAGCTTTTTTATATAAAGTATGTTTTGTTATACCACGTACATTTATGTTCTATTCTATAACTCTGGCACCTTGCTTTTGTTGTATTTATGTTAAAATAAATGAGTGAGGTTGGTGGATGTTAAAAGGGGATGCTACATTTCTCAGGTAAATGTGACTTTTTGCTATGCTTTGGCACAGCGTATTAGATACAAGATTAATTAATCAGCCATACAACCAAAAAGTTTTACTTTTTTTTCTTATTCAGGACAAAAAACTTAAGTGTTGGGTGGCAAATTAAATTGAAACTCTAGGGTGGAATTTTTCAAACTCTGTCCTCTGCCTATATATGTAGACTTTGTGTCCCGTATAACCTGGCTGAGCAAATAAAACAACTCTTTGTGAAAGTACAATTCCAAAACCCCAGCATTTATGCAAATTTTTTAAAAACAACCCAGGAAGTCAGCGTTTGAAAAGGTTTTATTGTTGTCATTACACTGGCAATGTTTTGCAAAAGTTTCAAACAAAATTAGCTGCTCAAGTGGCGCATCAGGCCCTCTAGTACATCCCTCCCCTCCTCCTCAGCACCCTGAGCCAGTGCAACCATCGGTTCTGCTGCAGCTGCTGCTACTGATGTGTCCCATTCATTCTGGTAGTCCTCTCCGTGGCTTTCACAAAGGTTATGCAGAGCACAACAAGTCAGCACCATTTGTTTAATCGGGCAGATATTGCTGTCATTCCTCTTCATAAGGCACCACCACCTACCTTTCAGTCTGCCAAAGGCATTTTCAACCATATGTATTGTTTATACAAGACAGCAGTGGAAAAGGACATGTTTAGATCCTTTACTTAAGTAGAACACTAGGATTACACAAAATTCTCCAGTATCCTGGTCCTGCATTGAAAATGCTTCATCACCAGTTACTTAAATAGAAATTTAACTTATTCACCCACTAGAGGAGAAATTTGGGTGTTACAGCAGCACAACTACATATAACTACAGATCAGTAGAGAAACTTATGGAGGAAAAACACAGAAGAATGTGTATAAAGTAAGTGTAGGACAATATACGCAGTACGAGAGTGACTGCACACAAAATGCTCAAACAATGGTTTATAACCAAACATAATGGTGTTTTTTAGAGAGTATTTATATTATATATTAATCTGCTGGCTATTTTCTTCGTTATTGTATTGATCGTTGGGTTTGTAAAAAAAAGAAACCAGAGAATAGTGAGATATGCCCGCTCAATAACCCACTCACTAGCAAGAAGATGGTTAATGTTACAATAGTATAACACACAATGGATTATGCTCATTTTAACAAACTAATATTACTTTTATACTGGTCGGCTGCCTGTTTCATATCAAGCTAACATGTGCATGACAGTACACTAAACCCTTGTAATGAGGGATAACAATAACATTAGCCAATGTTAACTTACCCTCTTGCGCCATTGTCTTGCCAACAGGAGATTCTCTGAGCTCTGTAGTAGCATTTCCCAAACTTTCCTGTAGTATTTCTCTTTGCTGCCTGCATCCTTTTCTCAAACAAAGCTTGTCTCTGTTTTGTGATGAACAGCCACATAAGGAGCAGAAAGACTACGAACTGTTCGATGTTGTCCATTGTGCCTTCTCCTGAATCCTGTCGCGTTATATGATGTCATGTAATTAAGTGGTTGACGCGGCTACGTCCTGCCGGTAAAAACCTAAATGTAAGGGTACTGTTTGCAGTGGAAACGTTCAGGTCTAGGTACCGTATCTGAAGGGATACTTTTCTGGTTCCAGGTACCTTATCCATACCATACCATACTGCTCGGTGGAAATGGGGCTTAAGTGACCTGACACTAGGGTTGGGAATCTCTCTGTGATAGACGATTCGATACGTATCTAGATACACGGGTTACGGTATGATTCAAAAACGATATATTTTTAATACAGAACGATTCGATACGATTCGATACAGTGTAGGAACGATACGATTCGATACGATTCTATGGTTAACATTTGTTGATGTAGACATTAATCATATATTATAAAATAAAGAAGCCAATTCTATAAAAGTAACATTCTTACAGTATTTTCAGATTTGTAAAAGACCACATCCCCAAGCATTGTTGCTGTATGGCACTGGCAAAAATAAAATAAAAAGACAAACAACAAAATCACATGTCAAATGTATTTATTTTTAGACATGGACAAAAAAAGGCTCGTTGAATGAACATCATTTTGTTGGATGGGATCAATATAAAAATGAGAAGAAGTTTTAAACTTTAAGTGAAGTGAACTTTAAGTAAAATTTAAGTGTTTTAAACCTACTTGTTGTGTTGTTTTTATGGTATTGTCTGTGTTTTTGTATGTATCTTATATGGACTTGAGTCTGGAATAAAGTTTATCATAACGCTGTACAATATAAACATAAAGCAGAATAAAATAATAACATGCAATGTAGGGGCAGAATCTGACATCTCCTGTTAATAGTTGACGTCATGGACTGTGATGACTAGCAGCTTATCACTGACAGCATGTCAGACTATTTCTCTGTGTTTTCTACACTGTGTTTGTCATTTATAAAAAGATAAATCACTTTTCTATAATACATCACTGATATTTCAATGGAATAAATTACTTATTGACTTATTCATACTTCAAAAACAGCATCAATAAGTGATTTACATAGGGGGGATCAAAATAAAATAAATAAATAAAATCAAAATCAACCAGCCACCCTCCTCCCCTGACAAGTAAAGAACAGTCCCTAAAGTGCGGTGAGGTTTATGGAAATGTGAACTGCTCGTTTCTCCTCTGACACGTCACATACCTGTGTGCTGCCAGGGCTTGGCTGGTATTTCTGGGCAGGGCAGTCATGACACTGAAGAAGACTTCTTGGACCTGGAGACGGGCTTGTCGGTCGCCGGCAAGCCGTTATCATGCGCCGCCGTATTTGACAGGAATACGTATTTCTGTCTGTGTCTGTGACCCCGCGTTCAACCCACAACCGACAGGATTCGCCTTTAGTTTCTGCTGCGGCTTGGCTGCTACCTGGTTTATCCAACCAGCATTAGCTTCTGTTCTTCATCTCCACCGGTCAAGCTGGCGCTGATGTTTACATCCATTATTGTTGTCTGCTACGGAGCAGGCATTACTGCTACGTCGGCTCTCGCGTTGTTTTCAAGATGCAAACTGCCAGTCAACCGATTGCTAGTCTCGCGATACCTGAATCCATGACTCTACAGTCGATTCATCTAAGGATTCATGGCTGATTCGTATAGATTGAGAGGGCTGCTACCAACGTAGCCATATCTCTCGCTTGTCAAACCGGATATTTTTTAATTTTAATTTAATTTAATTTTATATACTTTATTAATCCCCGAGGGGAAATTCAATTTTTCACTCTGTTGTCAATTACACACAGGTCCGAACACACACATGCACAAACTGGACCTATACATGCACTGAGTGGAGAGATGTCAGAGTGGGCTGCCCATGACAGGCGCTCCGAGCGGTTGGGGGGTTCGGTACCTTGCTCAGGGGCACCTCGGCAGTGCCCAGGAGGTGAACTGGCACCTCTCCAGCTACCAGTCCACGCACCATACTTTTGGTCCGGACAGGAACAGGCGACCCTCCGGTTCCCAACCCAAGTACATTATGACATTGCTTCAAATTTATGAACACTTCAGTTTGTGCCAGAGTGCGACGGCACTCGGAATGAGCACTAGCTAATGTCTGGGGAGAATTGTTTTGCCTCCAGCTAAGCCAGCCCACCAAAAACCGCCATACTGTTTACTAACAATAAAAGGGTCTATTCGTGTGACCCAGATTTAAAAATGGCAGCCCACAAAATCACACATTGCTCAACTGACAAAGTACAGACATTTCTCTGTTTGGTTCCCAGTAAAAGGATCCTGGATGGAGCACCGTGTGCTGTGTCATTTTGAAGATGATGTCAGGGCAGTTTCAGTGGCTAAGACTCCAGCCTTTGCTCATAGGGTACTGCCTGCAGTGGAAAACTAAACTGAGGAAAGCACATGGTCAAGTAGAGTTGAGTTGAACTGCACCATGCAGTGGGAATGAGGCATTCGTTTCTGTATGTTTATTAACCATGGCTGTTCCATCGGTGTGTGAGTGTGTTAAAAACTGAGTAGCACTTTGAGCGATCAGATGACTAGAAAAGCCCTATACAAGTGCATGTCCATTATTACACTCAGTTTCAATGGACTGACACACAGTTTGATCAATAATGTTTAGTATTACTGATATCAGTAGATGCCCAGGAAAAAAACAGTAATTCAATCAGCATTTTTTCTTTCTTATTTCTTTCTCAGTCTTTTATTCATTGCATCATTGCTTATTCACTGTATAAAACATGTTGACATGAAGTAATGCCAAATTGTCCCCTCCATGTGTATTTCTAGGCAGTCGGATGGATGAAGTGTCGGATGTGGAGTCAGAGCCTGACCTCCCCCTGAAGAGGAAGCAGCGCAGGAGTCGGACCACATTCACTGCGGAGCAACTTGAGGAGCTAGAGAAGGCTTTCGAAAGAACCCACTATCCTGATATCTACACCAGGGAGGAGCTGGCCCAGAGGACAAAACTCACTGAGGCCAGGGTGCAGGTAATACACTTAAAACTATCCATCCCTAACCATGATAGCGTGTGTTGCTCAAAACAAAACGTTTAACTCTAAAATTCCATAGCTGAGTCTATTTCCAGAAACAGTATCCTCATCAGTCTCTGTCCTGTCCAACCCAGTCTCACTCCAGTGTTGTCGAAGTCCATTGCTTGGTCAGTGACTTTCAGCGTGAGACACTGACAAAAAAAAGCTGTTCTTTCACATTGGCATGACAGGCAGTCGGTTGCTTCAGGGGGGAAACCAAGCGAAGAACATTGAAATCCAGGGTGGCAGTCCAACTAGGGCAGGCGGGAGGTGTGGTGGATTAGTCCAACAACCACCAATTTTCACCCAGGAGGCCGGTGTTCACGTCCCATGTGACTGTAAATCCAAACCCTGCTCTTTTTTCCTAAACCCAACCACGTGTGTGTTGGCTCAACATAACCACGTGCAGTTGTTGTTGAAGGACAAAAATGTCAATTTGTTGTACCAACATGGTGTGTTTATTTTGAAAGAGACTGTATGCAAACTGTACATTTCCTGTGAAAACAGAGGTGTATTTTGAAAAACAGACAATGCATGTGACAGGTTGAAGTTGACATGGCATCCCAGAAAGTCAACAACCAACACACCCAGGGTACCATGCATGTCGTATCTAAACTTGGAAGGTCCATGACCAAACGTTGATATGTGATGAGGTCAGAGTAAGAGTGAGTGTTGTCCTGTCAGATTTTTTTGTCTTACACAGTTGGGGCCACAGATCCATTTGGAGAATATTTTGAGCTATTGTACTGCATGCTGAGCAAGGTGCTGACAGTAAACAGCCACATGGTTTACTCTTCATTTTTATTTTCAAGTGTTCAGATATTAGAAGATGCACTGATCTTCATTTTGACTTTCCCTTTTGCTCTGTCTGAAAACACTCCTTTTCAAGCTGTGTTGTTAACCTTTATGATGAGATTGATTTGTATTTGTATTCTACAAGATGTCACATTATGGTGATATCAAATTCCATATTTAACCACAGAGTTCAACTATTATTCACACATATATATGAACTGTAATGCTTGAGAGTCTGCCAGCTGTTCACATCTCAGCTAAGGAACCTGTCTTTGGTCTTTGTTAGGTTTTGGCAGCTTCACAGTGTTCCAGCAGTGCTCGAGAAAATACTGTTGAGCTCCAACAACAGCTGTTAGGTGTTCAGCAGTGGGGTGGGGTCTGCATTCCTCATGCATGTCTCACTCTCTAAAATCTTGGCTGGAATCTTTATTTCCCACCACTTTCAAGCCCACCATTCATTGTAATATGCCCAGCAGATCACAGAAGGGTCTAGGCTGTATCACGGTGGCTTTTATCTACAACAGAAACGTGGATCAGTCAACATCCAGGAAAACTGAGAGTACAAAAACAGCATTGCACAGAAACCTGTCCACTCTCACTTTGCTGTCACTTAGCTCTTATACCTTCAGACCTCAGAATGCTCTCTGTACCTCTGCCTCCTAAATTCACTGAGAGGATTTAGCCAGAGTTTCAACAAATACCAGCTGACAGAACAATCTCAATAATGTCTATTTTCTCAGTTGTTTTGGAGCTTTTGACTGCATCATATGGTCAACCTCCATGTTGACTTGTCAGCTGTCAAGTGTCAGAATGAACTGTCATTGCTTAGAAGTTTAAACATTTATGGTTCCATGGCAGCTGAGCAAAGTCAATCTGCTGATGAGGACCAATTTGGTGGAAATCTTCAGAGGAAACTAGCTTGTGGACCTTGAGCTGCGACCAGTGTTGTCAACTGCTGTTTTCAAAGTCAAATAATGAACAGTCAACATGTTCAATTTGCATATTTTTGAAGTACTGGTACTACATAGAATTAATATACAGATGGTTGATAAAAGGAAAGAAAAAGTAAAGAGTAGTTAAGTAAGTAGAAGATGAACTGATTTCCAAAAGGCATTAAGTTAAAGATGAACATTTCTTCAAAATTTTAAGCAAGATTTTTTATCCTTTACAATTTCAAAATAACAAAAAAGGAGAGGACCTGAAGCAAAAGTTTGGGCACCCTGCATGGTCAGTACTTAGTACCACCACGTTTGGCAAGTATCACAGCTTCTAAACAATTTTTGTATTTAGCAAGAGTCTTTCAGTTCTTGTTTCACGGCTTTTCACCCATTCTTCCTGCAAAACGCTTCTAGCTTTGTGAGATTCTTGGGCCGTCTTGTATGCACTGCTCTTTTGAGGTCTATCCACATGATGTTTAATGGTGTTTAGGTCGGGAGGCTGTGAGGGCCATGCCAAAACCTTCAGCTTGTGCCTTTTGAGGTAGTCCATTGTGGATTTTGATTCGAGTTTGGGATAATTGTCCTCTTGTAGAAACCATCCTCTCTTCATCTTCAGCTTTTTTACAGATGGTGAAAGAATTTGCTGGAATTTAACTAAAACAATTCTTCTCTCTACCTGTGAAATGCTCCTTGTACCACTGGCTGCAACACAAGCCCAAAGCATGATCGATCCACATTTGTGTTTAACAGCTGGACAGGTGTTCTTTTCATGAAATTCTGAATGCTTTTTTTCTCCAAACATACCTTTGCTCATTGGCTCCAAAAAGTTCTATTTTACTTCATCAGTCCACATGACTTGTTTCCAAAAAGCATCAGGCTTTTTTAGATGTTTCTTTGCAAACTTCTGATGACACAAGAAAGGTTTTCTTATGATGACTCTTCCATGAAGGTCATAGGTGTCAGTGCACAGTAGAACAGTGCACCACCACTCCAGAGTTTGCTAAATCTTTCTGCAGGTCTTTTGCAGTCAAATGCGAGTTTTGATTTGCCTTTTTAACAATCCTACGAGCAGCTCTCTCAGAAGGTTTTCTTGGTTCTCCAAACCTCAACTTGGCCTCCACAGTTCCTGTTAACTGCCATTTCTTAATTACATTACAAACTGAGGAAATAGCTACCCGAAAACAAATTGCTATCATCTTATAGTCTTATCCTGCTTTGTGGGCATCAGTTATTTGAGTTTTCAGAGTGCTAGGCAGCTGTTTAGAGGAGCCCATGGCTGGCGATTGATGGGACAAGGTCTCATGAGTCAGAATATTTATAAAGCTTTGAAATTTGCATCACCTGGCCTTTCCTAACGATGATTGTGGACAAGCCATAGCCCTAACAAGCTGATCAAGGTCTGAGACCCTGGTTAACGTTGTCTGAGAGCTTTAATGTCTTGGGGTGTCCAAAATTTTGCATGGTGCTCCTTTCCTTTTATTCACTCAAAAATTGTACAAAAGACGGAGACTCTTGAGCATGAGTAGGGAGTAGACGTGCCTTCCACAGCTCCTGCAGAAATCAAATTTATACATTTTGGACCTCGTAACTGTTCCAACTTCGTTAGAAATGCACACTAAGTGACTTTAATACCCTATGAATGGATAAATGCCTCCAAAACCAGCCAAAGAGCGGAGAGAGAGAGAGCCAGAACACGACACAACTCGGACTCCTCGGCTAGCATTAGCTCAGAAGCAGATGCTAATGCTAACAACATGGAAATGCTAGCGAATGCAGTTACAGCTGTGCAAGCCTCTATATACTCGTTTCGTAAGGAGAACCAGGCGTCTATTGCTTCTCTACATTTGATTCTGAGTGTGTATGGCCAACGAATTACTGATGTGGAGGACGGACTGAATGAGTTTGACAAGAGACTGAGCAGCGTGGAAGCTTCGCAAACTTTGCTGGCAAAGGAGAACAGTGCTCTGAGGGAGAAGGTGGTGTACCTGGAAAACTACACCAGGCGGCACATATTCGCATGGTGGGGATACCAGAAAATGTGGAGGGCCCGCGACCAACAGATTTCATTGCCAAACTACTCATTGAAGTGCTCGGGGAAGACTATTTTGAGAAGCCACCATCAGTGGATAGAGCCCACAGAAGTTTGGCCCCAAAACCAGCAGATGGCGACAACAGACCGCGGCCATTCATTGTCAAGCTCTACCACTTTCAAACCAAAGAATTGATCCTACGCCTCGCCAGACAGAAGGGCCTGCTCTCCTACAACGGATCAAGATTCCACATCTTTCCTGACTACAGCCCGAATGTCAACAAATGACGCGCAGCCTTCTCCGAGTCCAAAAAGAAGCTTTACGCCGCGAAGATCCAGTTCGGCCTCTACTACCCAGCCACTCTGCAGTTCATGCACAATGGGAAACGCATGAAGTTAACTGACCCTGTGGAAGCGCTGACCTACGTGAATAACAATATTACTGTTGCTGACGGACGCCCCGCTTTACACACTACAGACAGTGGTGATTGAGGTAATGAGCGGGTCAATGATGCCAGTAGACACTTAGAAGAGATGGTGATATCATTAGAGATATGGTTATTCTGTCATATTTTGTGACAGTATTTTTTTATTTTAATTTATTATTTAATTACTATTATTTATGTCGCTGTAAACGTTTTGTGTGTGAATGTGTGTGTACATATCACATGCAACGCTACATATGTACAACCTCCTAAGTTTATTTATGATCACCACCGGTCTCATTACATTGACTTTCTACAGCCTATGGGTATCATGGTCTCAATAATGTAAAATGATGTCACAGGTTATTTACTAGGGTTGGGAACGATTAACCGAAACGACCGGATATCCAGTTTGACAAGCAAGAGATATGGCTACGTTGGTAGCAGCCTTCTCAATCGATACAAATCAGCCATGAATCCTTAGATGAATCAATTGTAGAGTCATGGATTCGGGTATCGCGAGACTAGCAATCGGTTGACTGAATTAAACAGTTTGCATCTTGAAAACAACGCAAGAGCCGACGTAGCAGTAATGCCTGCTCCGTAGCAGACATTACTGACAACGATAATGGATGTAAACATCAGCGCCAGCTTGACCGGTGGAGATGAAGAACAGAAGCTAATGCTGGTTGGATAAACCAGGCAGCAGCCAAGCCGCAGCAGAAACTAAAGGAGAATCCTGACGGTTGTGGGTTGAACGCGGGGTCACAG